ACGAGTCATAAGGCCGTTCTCTAGCATTTGTGAAGCAGTCACGCGGCAACAATTAGGCAGCGTTCAGACTTCGCGACGGCAGCGCTTCGGTCGCGCGTTCGACGCGATCGATGCGCATGCTTTCAACTGCATCGATCGTCGAACGCGCTGCCGTCGCGAAGTCTGAACGCTGCAGAAAACGGCTAAAACGAACTATATATAGTCTTGTCGCCTGTAAGTAACTTTTCGCGCAGCAACGAGTACTGTTCAGAGAAACTAACTGCGTCAGTTATGAGCCCTATCTTTTGATAATGGTTGGAAAAGGCGCTCCAGTTGGAACATGTGGACCTCCTCTGTAAGAAACCCAACTCACTGAAGAGTTTGCCAGTAGTAGTAGGCTAGTATTTGTTTTCGTGGTTCGCTGTGAGGCTGCTTTCATACTTTACAGCGTCCTTCAGCGTTTCCAGCGTCCGGCTGCGACAGCGACAAGGAAATCATAGATATCGATCTAGCGCCAGCGTCCAGCAGCGTTCACCAGCGATCAGCAGCGTCTCAAAGGCTAGGGAAGTATAGGTTTTGATCCAGTGATTAGGCCGGGTGTGGCGAGTAGAGGCGATAGGAGGGTAGCAGACAGCTGGTAGCCTCCTAATGCCCCATTCTCTCTACCAGCAGTCTGCTACCCTTCTATCTCCCCATACCCTACGAGTGTCCTCTACCCTCCTATCGCTACCAGCTGTGTGCTACCCTCCTATCTCCCTACACTTACCACTGATGGGCGCTGGTGAACGCTTGTAGACGCTGATGGACGCTAGATCGATATCTATACTTTCCTAGTCGCTGACGTGCCGGACGCTGGAAACGCTGATGGACGCCGGTGGTCGCTGCCGTGAAGTACGAACGCAGTCTAACCCTGCACTACATTATTTTCATGCGTGACATAGTGTATAGAGGGTTCGATGTTTCTAGGTAGTCAGAAAACAAAAATAACAGATCCATAATTTGCTTTATTCTCTTCGCTGCTCAACCCTTGGCCACCAAAGGAACAGTTAAGATCGCAGGATGAACATTGTCCTTGTCCGCGTAAGCTTTTTGTGGATCTGTTCCGTCAAACTGAAAGCGACAGTTTTTCTGCGTATTGAAAACTATCTTTAGTGAAAAGTACTAACTGGTAGCGTGAGAACAAGAATTTTCTCGGGTTTCACTGGACCGCCTGTTCGACTTATAACAATGTCGATAGTCTTGCCCGCTTCAATCATGGCGAATACTGGATTCACTCTGGAAGCAGAAATCATTTGTAGAATCTGACAAAAGATTAACTTGATTGTGGTCAGACCCACAAGGAACATCGTTGTTGGGGAATCCACAATAGGGGGGGGTCATATTTGGCCGCCAGGAGTGGGGGGAGGGGGCGTAATTTGGGCTGGAAAAAAATTTATTTTGATAGTTGATTTGTCTCGCTCCGCGGACGTTGTAAAGGGTGGGGTTGTACTTGGTCATTGTTGGGAGGGGGGGTCGTATTCACGTTTTAGCGTTGTAGGATCGGTGGTTGACTTTTTGTGATTTTCCTGTTCCCCCCCCTACAAAAAAAAAGGGGGTGGGTTTGTACAGGACTCGAACCAAAATCCCCAACCAATGATGTGCCCTGGTCAGACCAGGCCGAGGTCAAGGCGTCATCCACGGCTTGGGTCGCATTCCCTTCAGGCTGCGTTCATACTTTGCGGTAGCGCCGCAGCAGCCACCAGTTCCGAGCGTCGGCAGCATCAGCAACTAAATATCGATCTAGCGTCAGCTAGCGTCCACCAGCGACCAGCACCGCTGGGAAAGTATAGGGTATCGATTTTGCGACCAGCAGCGTCTACCGCCATTCACCAGAGACCAGCAGCGTCCAGGAGTGGGGAGATAGGAGGGTAGCAGACTACTGGTAGAGGGTATGGGGCGATTGGTACAAATATCGCCCCAGGGCAGGAGATGGTGCAGTGACAAGTGGCGCGCTCACCACTCGCGCGGTCCTGGGTTCAAATCCTGGGTCGACTCCCGCCTAGGCCAACGAAGCCTTCTACCCCTCGGGACGGTAAAAATTGGTACCAGATTCGTCTGGGAGGATAATAACACTGATTTGTACACCGGCTGGCCCCGCAAGTCATTTTATAGGGCACACCGCATTCAATGAGCCACTACAATTCTGAAAGGAAGTAGAATGCGTGCCGCATCCCACACAAAGGGTTGATCAACGACGAAGACTTTATCCTTTTATCCTTATCGCCCCATACACTCTACCAGCAGTCTGCTACCCTCCTATCTCCCCATACTCTACCAGCTGTCTGCTACCCTCCTATCGCCCCATATTCTCCACTCCTAGACGCTGGTAGTCGCTGGAAGACGCTGAGAGACGTCGATGTCTGTATTTTCCCAGTCGCTGAAGCTGCCGGACTCTCTGAGCGCTGATGGTCGCCAGTGGACTGCCGCAGAGAATGAACGCAGCGTTACATACGTTGTTCCAAACGATTTTGCGGTGCCGAAAGATAAAAAGTCCCATGAGGGAAGAGGGTACCACTGGAGGCAAAGACTGGAGACAAGAAGGGGAGGGAAATGCCGCACTGAGAGGCCAATTTTCTTGATCTATATGACGTGACCTGCTCGTAAAGGCGAATAGCTTACTTGTACATCCCATTGTTAGAACACTTCAATTTCATTGCCTGCTTCTTTTTCATATTATTTGTAACTTTAAGAACCTGAAACTTCCGAAGTATTAGCTGTACGAAGGAGCTGCTCAATACGCATTCTTTTGTTTGCAGCCCAATGTTAATCAAAGACAAACTGCTCACTCAATTCCGAAGACCATATACGAGGGAAATGGGTCCGCAGCTGCAGTAGTGTTCCATTTTTCTCGCTTTTCTCGCTCAGAAGGTCAGGGGAACGGGGCTATGAAGCGGTGATATCTGAGTGCCCTTCCTATATCCCATCCGCGCTATCCTTTGTGTGCAGCATTTCTGCTGATGCCAAGGTACCGCAGCGAAACATGCACTCGACGGTAGAGAACAACCAGAGGTGAGATGAGCAGACAAGTTGCGCGTTCGGCTATGGTTAGGCGTTTGGCCGACGGAGACGGCATTCGGGTTTATCACTCTCCACCACCGTCGCCGTGCTTTTTTGACCGGAGAAAGTGAGCGCTTCTCAAATGTGTACCTGTTCTCCCTACACACTGCAAGATCTTTCAGCATGTATTTCTACCTAAAATCAAAAAAATGCTGCATGGACAATATTGTAAACTGTAGGGGATACTGAGCAGCCATGCTACATTACCTTATGCCCTACCAATTCACCGTTCGGGCAAAGGTGACTGATAATGACGATAGACCCTACCTGCTGAGACTGTTTTGCATCCCAGGCAAGACTGCTGGCACTTAGTTTTATGTCACCACCTGGAATACAGAATACTAATCAAACTATAATAAATCCGGACTATATTAGTTAAAATGATCAGGGTCCGAAAAGGGAAAGATGGATGGGTGGATGGGTTGCTCCACTGAGTTATGGAATCAGGGCACTTCCTGATGTTGGGAT